CCCACTTTCCTTAGACAGAACTACCAAGACAAGTAATTTTAATAGGACAATAATTGACAACAACTATACCCGACAATAGCTATTAAATAGACATAAAAGAGAACACCAAAATATTTCACTAATAGAGGAAATATTACAAAGAGAGAAAGAATACAAATAGCCTTTAAAATAGAAGAAGGCTTATATTTGTGGGATGATTAACTAAGGAGGAGGAGGGCTTTATTTATAACAAAAGAATTTCCCATCCTCCTTATACACAACCAATGTGGGACTTTTGCCAAAAACCAACAAATCTCCACCTTGGCAAATTCCACACACATCTCTAAAAAAAATCTTTTAATTTGTAACAATATTGACCAAATCTAAACAATGTTTAAACTTGACCGCAGTTACCACTTTTGTCAACATATCAGCAGGATTCTCAGTGGTCCGAATCTTCTGGATTATGACTCCACCTTCTTCTAGAATCTCTCGTACAAAGTGATATCGAACATCGATGTGCTTCGTCCTTGCATGGTAAACCTGGTTCTTTGCTAAATGAATAGCACTCTGACTGTCACAGTGCACTTTGATGTGCTTTTGTTCCATTCCCAATTCACCAAGCAACCCTTGAAGCCAAATTGCCTCCTTCACAGCCTCTGTAACTGCCATATACTCTGCCTCTGTAGTAGACAAAGCCACTGTTGACTGTAAGGTGGACTTCCAACTGACTGGTGCCTTTGCAAATGTAACACATAACCAGTAGTTGATCGACGCTTGTCCAAATCACCTGCATAGTCTGAATCACAATACCCAACTACACACTGACCATCTTGTTTGTCCTGCTGAAAGACCAAACCAACATCTACGGTGTTCAGAATATACCGCAGAATCCATTGCACAGCTTGCCAATGCTCCTTTCCAGGATCATGCATATACCTGCTCACAACCCCAATTGCCTGTGAAATATCGGGTCTCGTACACACCATTGCATACATCAAGCTACCAACAGCACTTGTATACGGAACCTTTGACATGTTCCCGTTCTGCATCATCCTTAGGTGACATGGATGCACCGAGCTTGAAATGAGGAGCAAGAGGTGTACTAACTGGTTTTGACATCTCATTTATGCCAAAACGTTTTAGTACCTTCCTCAGATATTCTTTCTGAGACAAACAAAGCCTCCCCAATTTCTTATCCCTTGATATCTCCATGCCTAGAATCTTCTTCGCTTCACCAAGATCATTCATCTCAAACTCCCTGTTCAATTGAGTCTTTAGTTTCGCAATTTCTGTCTGACTCCTGGAAGCTATCAGCATATCATCAACATAAAGAAGAAGATATATATAGGATCCGTCTTCTAGCTCGCGTAAATACACACAATGATCATATTTGCTTCTTGTGTACTTCTGCCCTATCATAAACTTGTCAAATCGCTTGTACCACTGCCTTGGAGATTGCTTCAATCCGTACAGCGATTTTTCTAATTTGCACACCATCTCTTCTTTTTCAGCAACTTTGAATCCATCTGGCTGAGTCATGTAGATTTCCTCATCCAAGTCTCCATGTAAAAATGCAGTTTTTACATCCATCTGAACTAGTTCCAAATCCAACTGCGCTACCAAAGCCAACAAAATTCTGATGGAGGAATGTTTTACAACTGGAGAAATACTTCATTATAATCAACTCCCTCCGTTTGAGCGTAGCCTTTAGCCACCAATCTTGCTTTGTAGCGGATGTTATTCTTGTCAGGAAATCCATCTTTCTTTGCATATACCCACTTGCACCCAATTGCCTTCTTTCCCTTCGGAAGACTAGCTAGTTTCCACGTCTGATTCTTTTGAAGGGATTGCATTTCTTCATTCATGGCAATCCTCCACTTTTATGTTCTGAACTTTGAACTGCTTCATTAAAGTGGTAGGAACGTCATCAATTGCAATTGGTGATGCAAAAGAGACCATATCAGCATAACGAGCAGGTTGTCTAATGGTCCTCTTTCCCTTTCTGAGTGCAATTGATTCATGTTGCTGTGGAGGTTCTTGGGTTTGAACCTCTTCTTCATCTGACTCTTCTTCTACCATAGGAGAGTCAACATCATTTTCTTTACTGGTTGGGACAAATTTGCTTCCTTCAAACTCCACCTTTTTGGGAGTTTCCATCTGTCTGCTCCAATTTTTCTGAAGTCACCTTTCTCAATATGGTAGATTCATCAAAGGTAACATCCCTGCTGAAGATTATTTTCTTTGTTTCTGGACACCAAAGACGATAGCCTTTCACACCAGAGGTGATCCCCATAAAAATCGCCTTCTTTGCTCTTGGATCCAGCTTTGACTCCTTAACATGGTAGTATGCAGTGGAACCAACACATGTAAGGAATCATAATCTGTAGCAGGTACTCCAAACCATTTCTCTAATGGTGTTTTACCACCAATAGCAGTCGATGGTAAGCGGTTGACAAGGTGACAAGCATAGACCAAAGCCTCAGCCCAAAATTCTTTGCCTAACCCAGCATTAGACAACATACACCGAACCTTCTCCACTAATGTCCAGTTCATACGCTCTGCCACTCCATTCTGTTGTGGTGTACCTCTGACAGTGAAGTGCCTAACAATACCTTCCTCTTCACAGACTTTCAGAAATGGATCATTTTTGTACTCTCCACCATTGTCTGTACGGAGACGTTTGATTTTTCTGCCTGTTTGAGTCTCCATCATCTTTTTCCATTTAAGGAAAAATCCTAGCACCTCATCCTTGTCTTCATTGGATACACCCAAACTCTCCGGGAAAATCATCAACAAAGGTGACATAATAGTGTGTTCCTCCCAATGAAGTTGTCTTGGAAGGCCCCCATACATCTGAATGAACATAATCCAAAATACCTTTAGTATCATGGATTGCTGTTCCAAATTTCACCCTTGTCTTCTTCCCTTTGATGCAATGCTCACAAAAAGCTAATTTGCAAGCCCGAGCACCCTTCAATAATCCTTGATCTATCAGTAATTTCAAGGATTTTTCACCAACATGCCCCAAGCGCATATGCCATAACCTGGTTGCTTCTGACTCCTGTTCATCAGTAGAAGCTGCCACTGCTGCTGTCCCAACAATTGTACTACCCAGAAAGTAATACACATTGTTTCTTTTTCGGATTCCCTTCATTATAATACTCGACCACATTTGATTCTGAGACAGCCTTCCCCCTTTCAGGTTTGCCTTTATTCTTTAGCCTGGGACATTCTTTCTTCCAGTGCCCTTTTTCTCGACAAAAGGCACATTCATCTTTGCTCAATCTGGACTTTGACTTCGATCTCCCTCTGCTTCCTTTATTCTGACTCTTGGAACGGCCTCTAACAACAAGAGCTTCTGCTTCGACACTTGTGTTTTCTTGTTTGTCTTTCTTTCTCAATTCATAACTATACAAGGCAGCAGTTACTTCACTGAGAGACACATCAACCTTCCCATGAAGTAGAGTAGTTTCAAGATACTCAAACTCATCAGGAAGTGATCCCATCAACATCAGAGCCAGATCTTCGTCTTCAAAAGTCACGTCCATATTCATCAGATCAGTCACCAGCTGATTAAAGCTAGTAATGTGATCATTCATAGTGGTACCTGATACATAGTTGAAGCGGAACAGTCTCTTTTTCATGTAGAGTTTGTTCTGACCGCTTTTCTTCAAAAATTTCTCCTCCAGTGCCTTCCACAATTTACTTGCAGAAGTTTCCTTAGAAAATGCATACTTCTGCTCTCTAGAAAGACACGATCGAATAGTACCACATGCCATTCTATTGATCCTCTTCCATTCTTTCTCCTCAACATCATCTGGTTTCTCTCCTTCAATAGCAATGTCTAGACCCTGCTGAAATAGGGAATCTAGAACCTCGCTTTGCCACATGCCGAAATGACCGGTGCCATCAAAAATCTCCACTGCAAATCTAACATTTGTCACAGCATTTCTTGCCAAAATTGAAGATGAAGAAGCGTCTGCCATTTCTGCTACAAATTCTATTTAATAGCTGCCAATGCAGAATGTCAATTATCCCAAGGAAATTTTTCTGATGTGGAAGATCAGCCTAAGCCGCAACCATAGAGCATACTAAAATAAACCAAGAGCTCTGATACCAATTTGTTGTGAAATTCGGGTTAATTTCCACCAATAACAAATTCACCTTGAAAACTATTATCTAGGTGACTAGTGTGAAAACGATTGTACTAAAAATCACCCCAAGGTAGATTCCCAGGAAAGAGGAGGGGTCACAATGGTCCCTCTTAAAACCCACTTTCCTTAGACAGAACTACCAAGACAAGTAATTTTAATAGGACAATAATTGACAACAACTATACCCGACAATAGCTATTAAATAGACATAAAAGAGAACACCAAAATATTTCACTAATAGAGGAAATATTACAAAGAGAGAAAGAATACAAATAGCCTTTAAAATAGAAGAAGGCTTATATTTGTGGGATGATTAACTAAGGAGGAGGAGGGCTTTATTTATAACAAAAGAATTTCCCCTCCTCCTTATACACAACCAATGTGGGACTTTTGCCAAAAACCAACAAACCTAACAAGCATCGACACAAACTCCGCGTTACACATACATCACATTAAATAAAAGTTAGTAAATATCATACCATTGCTGATATGATCAACTGACCTTAGATGCACCCTGAGAGATCATTTGAACATTCACTCCATTGGCCCTTAAAACGTGGAATGCCTGCCATGACATTCAGTTATCCATGTTACCGATGTCTATTTTTTCAAACATGATTTTCATCCATTGGCAGTATTGACAGAGTATAGCTTTTGCAGCAAGAGAAATCAGACAGATCGAAACAAACAGATTTCTACAAATACAAGTAATCTGCAAGGGCCCCTTAGAACTTGCAGTAAAGAAGAGCTCCATGTTTGCTTATTCTGAATATCTTCAATAAAATTAGAAGATAATTTACATGTTTTAAACTCCTTTGCATGCAATGTGACATATAGGAGTACCTTCTAAAGTATAAGTGGGGATCTCTAGACATTGCCAATGAGAGGAATGATAGACCTGTGATGAAGAAGATTGACAACAGCAATTCTTTCAAGTTCTTCTACAACATGGTCAAGTTCCTGTCAGGTGATACAAATAGAGATGTTAAAGACAGTGAAAATGGTTCAGAATCTTTCTGCAGACAGGTATAAGATCTGTACAAGGTAATATCAATTAAAGCATGTAGAATGGAACCTTATGCTTGCCTGCTGAATTAACTCTCTGCTCCAAAGTTTTGATGGATCCGAAGTCAAAGAAATACTGACTTCACTAGTAGCAACAACATCCACTGAGATACCTAAATCTTCAAAGATCGAAAATACCTGCACAGACAAAAATGATAGGAACCAACTCCACAAAAGAAAAAACAATGGACAGTTACCACTAAAATTAGGAATGGCCTTCTAACCTTGGCAAGAAAGCCAAATTGACCAAGCATGCGTGTGCTGACAATATCCAGCATGGTGACATTCCTTTTCAACACTATGCTGGTGAGTACTGCCTGCAATAGGGGGGAAATTATTAAAGCAGTTCGGACTTCATTAAACAAACATTACAGAAGCAACCAGCCGCTCCATACCTTACTTGTATCCCTATTCCCGGTAATGAGAGTTCCAGGAGCATTTGGATTGTAAGAATTTTTAACCTTAACAGGAATATCACCCTCTCTAGCTGGTCTCATGGATTGTGGACGCAGAACCTGAAGAAGGGCACAACAAAAATCCAAATTCACTCAGTTTCCCATGCTTCAATCAAGTAAATGGTAACTACTTCCAAGGATAGAGGACAAAAGAGAAGTCAAGCACACATTTATGAATGTGTTTTCACCAAATTTTGATAGTTGCTAAGAAACAAAAGCAGCAAATCAATTATAGCACCTGAGCTCCAAAGTATGCAAGTTCAGCTGCCTCTTCGAATGTCAGATACGGGACAGGTTCTGCATGTGCGTATATGTTCGGGTGCAGGTTAAAACACCATCAACATCTTTCCATACCTGTAATGAACATAAGAATACTGTTATAACTTTTTCTGAAGATAGGAACACCATACTATAACCAAGGTATAAACTTGCAAGCACTTGTTTTTGCTACAACTTTGGGTCTCCAGTACATATTGCACTTATAGATGCATGTTGTATGAAAATGGTGGCATCCATCCAGAAAATGATATGAAAAAGAATACGGCACTGCCTATCATTATACATCAGCAGGTTTATGGCATACATATTCAGAACTTGGACACACACTGACCTGAATTTCTCGCAACCCCAATGCTTTTCCAATAGTTGTGGCTGTCAAATCACTACCACCCCTACCTAAAGTAGTAATTGCACTAGATCTCCATCCCTACAATCAGAAGTTAGCAAGATAAGAAGCAATACCAAAAGATCCCACCAAGAATCTCCTATTTAAGAATGAAACCACCTCAAAAAGACATACAGCATTCTACCTTTCCAAGGAAACCAGTGACAATTGGGATTGCAGGATCACTGGTCCAAACATCATTTAATCTTTTTGCAACAGCTGGGTAAGTTGCTTCCAAAATATCCGTATTTGTGAAGTCATCAATTGTAATGAAACCAATTTCAAAGGCGTCATACTGCATACATGACACTAACTTATAATTAGCAGTCCTTCTGATGGTGGTTATAAGGAAATGCAGAGAATATTGTACTAAGCATAAATTAATCATGGAGAAGTCATGTACCGTAGCCAATGCTAATGAGAAATTTGAACCTCAGAAATTTAACTTTAGGGTTGGAACATACATCTAGGGATGTTTTACTAAGAGGATGTCCATGATGAAGATTAAACAACTGGTTAAATTATTTGGTAATTATACCAACATATATAACTTCTACATATAGGAAAAAGAAGCCTTAACGCCAATTTTATTCAAATATGCTGCAAAAATCCTCGTAGACATGCACTCCCTAAAGTTAACTCTTTCATCATAGCAATTCCCTTTAAGAGCTGCTCCAGCACTTCCAGGTGACCTACAAAAGGGTTTTTCATGCAAAAAAGCATGACAGAAACCAGCATAAGTAACCCTGAGCTAAAAGAACAGAAGAAGAGACATCAACGGGAAACTAAATGAAGAAAGAAGGTTCTTAAGATTACAAAAGAAAGAAGATTAGAATTTGATGTCAACTCAATAGTAGCTTATAAACTCACCATTGACAATTGACCTTGCCGCTCCAAGCTCATCGGCCGTCCTGGATTTTTAAAGTTGACAAGGAGAGATAGAAAATTTAAATAATAACCCTTTATCTTTAAAACCAACACCCAAAGGAGTGAAAGAAAAAAGGAAATATAAATCCTTTCAGTTGCTTTGACCTATGATGCAGCTCTTGTATAAAGCTCAACTCTTCTAAACCATCTACATTAGTGACGCCACACCTAACAGCCTTCTCTCCAGCCCAATCATCAAGCAAAAATCAATTTCTTAACAAACCCTTTATTTCTACGGTCCAAGAAATTAATGGATACAAAACAAAAGATAAAACGGTAAATTAAGTGAGGATTACCAGCAAAAGCTTATTGGTAGTCTTTCCCATTGCAGAAAGGACCATGACGGGTCTTTCAATGGGGAAACTGAGTATAAGGTCAGCAACCTCTCTACGCAGTCGTGGTCGCAGACGTAATAGATATTATTACGTTCACTACGGGTAACGCGGACGTAATTATTTTTTAAATTCGTATAAATTATTATAAAATATAATAATTATAGTTATAAAAAATCAATTTTAATGATTTTTAGAGTATTTTGTAATATTTATAAACTTTTATTAATACATAAATATAATTTTTATCATCATTAATTATTTTTATATTTATTTATAAATTTCTTAAGAATATTATATTAACTCATAACATATAAAAAAATAAAAAATATTGAGTTCAAAATAAAGTAGGGAGTTTTCAATGCAACAATTGGATGTTACTAAAGAAATAAATTTTTATTGAAATCTTAAAACTATAAAAGAACGAATTATTTGTCTTTGAAAAGGCGCGACCTAAAATATTACAAACAACATAATAATCACACACAATTTAAAATGTTTTTTCTTATATTTTCTTAAAATGTTAATTTTTCCTTACTTTTTTCAGGTACAAATCTTCTTCGTAATATTTTAGGTTGCAACAAAAATATTACATTTTTCATAATATTTCCGGTTGAACATAAAATGTTAAAAAATATGATCTTTTAGGTTGCGCATAACCTAAAATATTATTTTGTATTTTAATATTTTAGGTCATGCTTTATAATATTTTAGGTCACACATTTTTTTTAACCTTATATTAAGTTACCTACCCCAAAACTCCTCCAAGAGTAACCAATTAGCCCAAACATGGAGACCTAATTTTCTTTCTAGGCCCTAGGGATTTCCCGAACATTTCAAAAAACAAAATGGAAGATTGGGATGACAAAAAAACTTTACTTAATAATTTTTTAATTATTCATAATATATACATTCTACGTATATATTACTCAAATTCAAAAACTCTATAAAAAAATCATATTCCTTTTACCTTTAGAATTTGCTTTTTGGAGTTATTTTTATAAATCCAAAAAATGATCTAAAACATTTAAATTATTAATTCGAGTTATAAGTATCAATTAATATTTAGATTTGATTTATATTTAAGTTTTTGGAATATGTTATTAATATATTATATGTTTACTAAGAAATATAATGGTTTAATAATTAAATTATAAAAAATATTTTAATTATCTAAACGTTATTAAGTTAGATTACTAAATTCAAATGATGTTTTATTGAAATGTTATTGCCTTAAAAGTTGAGTGACCATTAGGCAATTTACCCTAAAACAAAGTAAGTTATATATTTTTCTTCTTTTTACATGTAAATAAATAACCCTATTTTCCGCTTATATTAAAACCCTAATTTCCATAAGCCTTCCTCCTTAAACCCTCCCATCACTTCGACCACCACCACACCACCCATCCCCTTAAATCCTAATCTTAAAATGGATCCAAAAGCGGTGCAAATCGGACTTGGTCCTTATCCTAGACTTCGGATCTCAATACACCCATCCCGTGGCTTTATTCTTCTTCAGATGAAAGCTTGAAGCAACAATTAGAGGAATTACAGAATCAAACTCGATGTTTGGTGTTGTAATAGGGATTAACGGAAAAACGGTCCGTTATAGCCGCGATTGACCGTTACCTGTTAAATTACAACCATTATGCATGAATAAGGAGGTTACCATAATAGAGGAAATAACATTTTGTCGGGGTTTGAAGAACCCCTAATATGGATTTTGGGTAAATCTAAAACCAATAAATTTCTCTAGTCAAAACAAAACATGGTTGAGTGGGAAGCTGGTATCTTAAAACAACAATGGCACATACACTGCTACTATACAGACAAAATCCCTCGAGGTGAATTCAAACCATCAATTATCTCAGAAGCTTTGCTTGTGTATAAATTTGTTAGTTTTGAGTGTTGTTGACTGAGTTCACTCATCATTTAACTGTTATATAATGCTTTAAGTAGTACACCTAATTGAATTTGGTATTTATCGTGCTGTTGTTAGTTGTTTTTCCTAGTGCAATTTTTCGATTATGTTATGGTCATGGTCATGGAGAGATGACATTAATCTCATATCTTATTACACATGTCCTTTGAGAAGAGGATAATGGCTTATTCTTTGATAGTTTGATTTATTGGTGTTTTTGGTGGGTGGCGCCTGTGATTAGATTGAGTGGAGAACAATGTCATGCCTTGGACAGGTAATTTCACATTGAGACTCCTAGAGTTTAAAATTGAAGGTATTATTAGACGGTGTTGTGTTTTGCTTCCTCATTGTTTGAATGGATAACTTTTAATCAGTGGATTGACAGAACATTGAATTTCTTGACGACATTAACCATCAAATATCATTTCTTGATGCTAAAACACCTTGGAGAACTGATGCCCTCTATTTCAGTGTGTTTTGAAACGTTTTGTTGTTGGTAATTGAACCAGATCTCGTGGTTAATTCTTTGGATAACTTTATCAACGAAGTTTTTGCGTATTTTGTGTTTGATTACATTCCTAAAGTAACATTTCGCTCTTTATATGCTAATTCATTCATGGTTTTCTATTTAGTTTTTTTTGATCAATTCAACCATTTCCCCATTATGTTTATCTTTTGGGCAACTGATGAATTCTTATTTTTAATGGGTAATTTGCGTCTGATAATTTTATATTGATGCTATCACTTTGGAGATCTGATGCCCTCTCTCATATTATTTCTTTTTAAAACTTTGGTTGCTTTGTCTTTACTTATTTAATAGCGTTTTGGATTCGTCATTAAGTGATCAATTGGGGTTCAGATCCTATATCTCATATTTGAGTTCATGTTCCAGTATGTATCTGTTTATTTATTCATATTATTTTCTGGGTCATCTGATAACAACTATTTTGCTCTAATTTGGTATATTTGGACTAGAGATTTAAATTTTGGTTGTGGTAGTTTTCCCAGTTGCCTTGTGCTTATTGTGATTGCTGCAACAGCCGGTGCTATTGTGGGTATTGTTGTTATGAAATAATTGTTTTGGATGGTAAATAACGAGGTGATTGTTGCAATACCCACGATAGCGGGTGCCATTGTGGTTGTGGTTGTGGTTGTGTTTCCTGAGTATTGTGGTTCTTCACACTCAAATTGTGCTTGAATTTTCTTCAGCCCTACCACGTAATATTGAATAATGCCTTAAACACCTTCAACCTAGTAAGTTTGTTGCTCACTTTAGATTGTCAAATTTTTTCATCAGTAGAAAATTTATTCTGCTGAATAAACTCATGACGAATAAGGAGATGATTGTAATCGACGAATAGCATTTGGACGGGGTTTGAAAAAACCACTAATGTAGATTTTGGGTAAATCTACAATGGCATATACATTGCTACGCTACAAACAAAATCTCTCGAGGGTAATGGCTCTGAGTAATATACTTAATTGAATTTGGTCGAGTATTGTGTATAAATTCAGGCCATCAATTAAATCAGTAGACTTTTCTGCATCAGTCGTATTGTGTATAAATTTCTTAGCTTTGAGTAATATACTTGACTGAATTTGGTTTTTATTGTGCGGTTGTGGTTGTTTTCCCTATTGCCACTTTACGACTATGTTATGTAGAGATGACAATAGTCCTATATCTTTGAGAAGAGGATAATGGCTTATTCTTTGTTTGTTTGATTTCATGTTCGAGTGTTTTGGTGGATGTGACCTGTGATGAGATTTGAGTGGAGAACAATGTGACCTCTGAAGTTTATAAAAGATGATACAAATTCTATTAAACATGTTTTTTCGAGAAGAGTGCAGTTATCTCTCCCATATTCAGTTTGATGGATAACTTGCTTCAAAACCCAAAGTATTGAGAATTGCTTCTTTTTTCGAAGGGTTTCCAATGCTTCACCGTCAAATGAAAAATTTACAGGGTTTAGCTTTTCACACGATTATGTTTTCTTGGACCAAGTTTTGCGTCTGTTTGTTGCATTTCAATCTCTTCATTTTATTTATCATGCAATTCCCATCAAGATTGAGTAATCAACGTTGACAAGATCCTGCAAAGGACAATTCTGGGGTCCCATTTTTGGATTTTGAAATGATGCAATTGACCGCTGCTTTTAATCTCGATTAACAACAGTTATATGTTCTATGCTTTTATTCTCCATTGTTCATGATCTGCATTTATATAACATCTCTTCCCTTAGAGGCGCATTACATATTCAACCCATTTTATGTAGCATCAAAGTGGTGTGCAAGACCAAAAACCTTGCTTGCCACTGCACAGGATGAATAATAGTTCATTCTTACTCCTTGTGTTCCATCCTTAAAAAGCGTTAAAGCATCTTAGGATCGGTCCCCATGTTCTTTGGAATCAGCCTTTTGAGGTACATCGTAACCTAAGGTAACCCCGTCGAATACTGAAGTTGCTCTGATTTGACACTTAATGTCATGAAGTTGAAGGATCATTATTGAGTTCACCCGAATGATGGGGTATTGATCGGCCATAATCCTATTTTTCTTAAGGGCACAAGCAGGCAGGCCACAAAGGAAGAGCATGTCGCCCCAATCAAGCTTCTGGTCTTCTGATACAATAAAATCTTGGCCTCGGTGTCTGTCCACAAGCTGTGTTCTCCTCCAAAGGTAGAAGAACTCTTCTGTGTCCACCACTTTCTCAATTACGTCATCTGCTATCCCATGATTGATTATCTTTTTTACCCATCAACCAAAATGAACTACTAAGTTCATTTACGAAAAAATAAAGTTACTGACTGTTAATTGTGAAGTTTTATTAGATTAGGTACGTGGAAGAAACCCCAGTCTTTGCAAGCTAAATGGAGATTTTTCTATTCATCATCATGATCTAGCTCGCTCACGTTGATTATAGGAATATGTAGGGATTCAGCTATGGAGACCACTTCGGCTTCAACCTCTGGTCTGATGTATCTTGATGGAATGTTTATGAGCGCTGATGGATGCAAGATTTTATGTCAAAAGGAGCGAATTTATAAAATTTTAAAATGCCATCTTATAAAATTTTAAAGTGGTAAAAA